GGCCAAGACGGTCTCTTCAGTAATGAAGTTTACTAATGCTTTATAGGAAGAGTGGAGCACAATACCACCAGCTTTCTACCAGACATTAGTAGACAATCATTAAGGTCAAAGGTGGGCCAACATGCTATTATTTTGTTTTATTCATAACTACTCACGTCCCATGACTTTTGGTAGGATAGTGTAGACGATAACTAGTCAACACCACCAGCAACTGTTGGCCTACTCTTTTATCAGCCAAAAGTGAGATTGACCGTAACATTATAATGCCCCCACGGTCAAGATGTTAACTATGACTATCAATTCTAAGTTGTGTTGTTTCTCATCAAGAAGTGGTTGTCTCATAACACATGTTTATCACAGTGTGTTAACCAACACCACGGATACAACATTCTCAAAACTGTGTTGTTAGATGTCGACGTATGTAGCAAAAAATAAAAAAAAGTTTTCACCGCATAAGCAGAAAAAATATTAAATTTTCTTCCTAATATCCCAAAACAAAGATTTTTAAATACGCTAAAGCAACTAATATATTCCAGTTAAACGATTAACATGACTGTATCTATATAGAAAAACAAACAAGAAAAACATTACTACAACTTCTGCATTCATTCATAAACTTATAACATATCTTTCCAATAAATCAAAATACTTATCAAGAAATAAAAATGACATTTGAATTAGACAGTTCTATGTGATTCTTCGGTCCGACCTGATAACATTGTTCCTAAAAGGTACCTGAATGTGTGGGTGTTTAATCCCTGTTGTATCGGAGGTCCTCGATCGCTAAAAATGGGTTTTCCATTATAACAGGAAAGAAAATGTATTGAAATCAGGGAATACTTTATAAAACTTAAAGGACAGAAAACTGCAACAAAAACGTTTAAAACCAAAATACTGAACTATTCTTTTATAAGACTAGAACGGTTAACGCCTGTCATCTTCATTCTTTGAATTCAGAATTTTATTTGCAGCCAGACAGATTTCTCTCCACGAAAACAGTATATCTTCGCTTTCTGTATCTTTGCCACAAACAACAAACCTGATAACGTAGAGGTCACGGCTACGTATTCTTGAAGACTTCAGAGTTATCTTTCCTCGCTTGTTTATAACACTTAACATCTCTTCATTCTGTGCCTCTGAACCCTGAAAAACACTATGGTTTATAACACTTAACATCTCTTCATTGTGTGTGTCTGAACCCTGAAAAACACTACGGTTTATAACACGTAACATCTCTTCATTGTGTGTGTTTGAACCCTAAAAAACACTACGGTTTATAACACTTAACATCTCTTCATTGTATGCCTCTGAACCCTGAAAAACACTATGGTTTATAACACATAACATCTCTTCATTGTGTGTGTCTGAACCCTAAAAAAAACTACGGTTTATAACACTTAACATCTCTTCATTCTGTGCCTCTGAACCCTGAAAAACACTATGGTTTATAACACTTAACATCTCTTCATTCTGTGCCTCTGAACCCTGAAAAACACTATGGTTTATAACACATAACATCTCTTCATTCTGTGCCTCTGAACCATGAAAAACACTATGGTTTATAACACTTAACATCTCTTCATTGTATGCCTCTGAACCCTGAAAAACACTATGGTTTATAACACATAACATCTCTTCATTCTGTGCCTCTGAACCCTAAAAAACACTACGGTTTATAACACTTAACATCTCTTCATTGTATGCCTCTGAACCCTGAAAAACACTATGGTTTATAACACTTAACATCTCTTCATTGTATGCCTCTGAACCCTGAAAAACACCATGGCTTATAACACATACCATCTCTTCATTCTGTGCCTCTGAACCCTGAAAAACACTACAGTTCTTCGTAAACGGTGAAACACTTTTAAAGGTGTAAGAAAACTATTCTACCAAACTGAAAGCTTAATTTCGTTCAATGTAACAATTCTTTTTATGAATTATTGAATTGCCCTTGCCAAAAAACGCTAACTTGGCACTTGTAGGCCTTGAATAAAATCACTTATGGAAGTTAACATTGTTTATCAAAACCATTCACTCACTAACGTTATTATTATAATTAAAAAGGTGTAACAGACTCTACTGTTCAGTAATAATTCCAACATTTTTATTACGTATAGATCTTAAGAATATAATTTGTTTTTCTTTTAACATTAGTGGTGTAATTCTGTCCCTGGATTCCTAAAATAGAGTAAGAAACGTTTGGTGAAACGTTAGAAAGTCCACCAGTTTTTACAAAACAAACGTAGGAAGGGAACAATTATTATAGATAATACAATCTCACATGACAGAAAGTAAATGACAGCCTGTTTTAATACGTACTAGCAGAGATCCGCAAATCATCTGTGGTTAAATTAGTATATCTTACAACAGTAATTCTTTAATTACAGGATTTTTAGAATAAGACAAAATAATTCTAATCGCACACACGGAAATATGCAAGCCCACTTGTTGTAGGCCTAGAATTAGTTGAGCTTTTACGTACAGCCTATATTCGATAATTTGTTTGTAAATAAGCACAAAGCTACATAGTGGGCTATCTATACTCTGCCCACAATGGGTATCGAAACACGGTTTATAGCGTTAGAACTCCGCAGACATACCGTTGTGTCATTAGGGGGCATATTCGATAAAGAGATAAATTAACACTGTAACTTGTGTAAGTTTCTTTTCAGTTTAATTAGGGCTAAACGTTATCGTTCTTAGTACTATACATAAAAAAACATGTGTAATGTTATTCTACGACCTAATGTTAGACATTTTTTTTTAAGCTTGATAAACTTTTAATATATTGTTTTAGAAAACATCTACTAAAGTTCATTTACATCCGTTAAATGAAGTGCGCGTTTATGCGCCTTTAAACTGTAATGTGCGCGCGCAGACGAAACTTATTATAATAAATTTTCGCACACTTTACGGGAAAGGGAGTTTTACGTTTTTGGATGTTGAGGTAATGTTCTAAACTGTCTAATCAGACAGTAGAAGGAGTGTTTCATCAGCTAGTCGTGCGGTCAGTTGTGGGTACTCACTCTGCTCAGTGAGTGTTTCATCAGTAAGTCGTGTGGTCAGTTGTGGGTACTCACTCTGCTCAGTGAGTGTTTCATCAGTAAGTCGTGTGGTCAGTTGTAAGTACTCACTCTGCTCAGTGAGTGTTTCATCAGTAAATCGTGTGGTAAGTTGTGGGTACTCACTCTGCTCAGTGAGTGTTTCATCAGAAACCCGTATGGTCAGTTGTAGTTACCGTCTCTAGTGGAAAAGCGTTTTATCTAGAAGACACTTGGTCAGTTATGGATACTGGCTGGGTATTACATCTGAAAGTCGTGTGGTCAGTTGTTTTTCTAAAACCGAAGAAACAGATATAATTGTTACTGTATATTAACACTGATTGTGAAGTTTGTAAGCTCTGGAACAAACCAGCTATCTAAGGTCAAGTTTTGGCGGCGTTATTTCAATGCTTATTTTATTTATAAAAGAAGAAGAAAAGGCAGAAGAGAAATTAACTCCTAACTACTGAAGTATTAAATAGTATAAACTGGAAGCGTTAAACAATATCATTCTTCAGCTCTTGTTTCCATTTACGATTATCAGGAGAAACATGTATAAAAAGTGTTAGTTTCGACGTAAAATGTTACAGAATATTAAGACAAAAAGACACAGGATAAATGTGTATAAAGAGACAACACATAAGTGTAGTTTCAAGGTAAAATGTTACACAAGATTATTACAAAAAGACACAGGATAAATGTGTATAAAGAGTTGACACATAAGTGTAGTTTTAAGGTAAAATAATACAGAATATTTTGATAAAAAGATGCAGGAGAAATGTGTATTAAGAGTTAAAGTACCTGTATAGTTTCAAGGTAAAATGATACAGAAGGTTATGATAAAAAGACACAGGATAAATGAGTATAAAGAGTTAAAACATAAGTGTAGTTTCAAGGTAAAATAATACAGAATATTTTGATAAAAAGACACAGGATAAATGTGTATAAAGAGTTAATGTACATGTGTAGTTTCAAAGTAAAATGATGCAGAAGATTTTCTCACCTTCAGTCTAAAGCAAACAACTCCTAAAACCACAGGAAGTAAAACTTCAAATCTGTGGTCGTTCTTTACCAGGTTTTCAAACTCATGGGCAAGGCTTACATGCTGTGGAAATGTAAAATAAAGATTTTACACTGACGAACCATGTAGCTGTTGCAACTAAAATATACTGAAAATCTATGTTAACACTAACACAAATTAAGTTATTGAATCCAAACAATAACATCATAAACAGCTATAAAACTATCATCATTTGTATATATTTTATAGTATGTATTTCTCATTATAGGTTACCTGTGTTAGTGACATACGGTGCTGTGGTTAATATCCACAAACATGTAATAATATAAATACATTATTGGAAAATATTGATGGAGATATACAGGTGACCGGATGTAGAAGTTACATATAATTAGTTGTTGCAAGTGTTTATTTTATCGTATGTACAATACATTATTAACGAAAATATAACAAAAAAAGCGACTAAAATTTGGAACAACACACTAGTATTTTGTATTACGAAAAGCGACTAAAATGTAGAAAAACACACTAGTATTTGTATTGAGAAAAGCGACTAAAATTTGGAACAACACACTAGTATTTTGTATTAAGAAAAGCTACTAAGATGTAGAATAACACACTAGTATTTGTATTGTGAAAAGCGACTAAGATGTAGAATAACACACTAGTATTTGTATTGAGAAAAGCGACTAAGATGTAGAACAACACACTAGTATTTGTATTGAAAAAAGCGACTAAAATTTGGAACAACACACTAGTATTTTGTATTAAGAAAAGCGACTAAGATGTAGAACAACACACTAGTATTTGTATTGAGAAAAGCGACTAAGATGTAGAACAACACACTAGTATTTGTATTGAGAAAAGCGACGAAGATGTAGAACAACACACTAGTATTTGTATTGAGAAAAGCGACTAAGATGTAGAATAACACACTAGTATATTGTATTAAGAAAAGCGACTAAGATGTAGAACAACACACTAGTATTTTGTATTTGTTTTACAGCGCACCTTACTTTATGCTATCATATGTGTATGATTGTCACAATTCAGCCAAATTACCGTTTGACCTTCCCAGTTCATATAGACCAATTCAGCCTTAAAGGTATTCACACCTGGACTTTGTGCAAGAGAAGCCTTGTTTACGAGTGTTTTATCGGGCTCTTTCCTTTCAGGTATCACTTCTCCACATATGGTGAATGCTTGGGATTACTGTTTTGCTGAAAGATGAGTCTCTGTCCAACAGGTATTGTGTCTGAAAGAATGTATGATGGAAAACAATGCACTTGTACCAGTCAGCAGTCAGGGTACCATCAGTTCTGTATAGCCCCCCTCCAGTTCATTGGCTGAGATGCATTTTATACCTTCATTGATTCCTCTGAATGTTTTACATTGACTGCAATACCGAATCTCCTCTCTACTATATAACAAACTTTCAATTATTGTTGGCAAACGATTTAAATTTTGGATTCATCTGTAAGAGCACACTTCTCCAGCATATTGTTTGAAGTATGATACACATTTCAGCCTTTTGGGTTAATTACATCTCCTAAACATGAGCCATCAGTGCAGTTACTACTCGCATTTTACACCATTTTATTCCCTGTTTCCATAATATTTTCCAATAATGTACATATACAACTTTTAAGAACAAAGTTTTTTACTATGTAAAAACAAAAAACAAACTTATATAACAAACAATATTGGAACAAAAAATAAGTGTCTGAAAAATAGGACCCCCCCCCCCAATAGAGGTGGGAATACACCATTTACCAGATTTAACCTCAATTCGTTTGTCTCACAAAGTGCAAAAACAAATCAGCGTGACGATATGGGTGCTCAAGTCCACAATGTGACGATGTGAGTACTCAAGCCCACAATGTGACGATGTGGGTGCTCAAGCCCACAACGTAACGATGTGGGTACTCAAGTTCACAACGTAACGATGTGGGTGTTCAAGTTCACAACGTGATGATATGGGTACTCAAGCTCACAATGTGACGATGTGGGTACTCAAGCTCACAACGTGACGATGTGGGTGCGCAAGCCCACAATGTGACGATGTGGGTACTCAAGCTCACAACGTGACGATGTGGGTGCTCAAGCTCACAATGTGACGATGTGGGTGCTCAAGTGCACAATGTGACGATGTGGGTGCTCAAGCCCACAACGTGACGATGTGGGTGCTCAAGTTCACAACGTGATGATGTGGGTGCTCAAGTTCACAACGTAACGATGTGGGTGCTCAAGTGCACAACGTGACAATATGGGTGCTAAAGTCTACAACGTGACGATGTGAGTGCTCAAATCCACAACGTGACGATGTGGGTGCTCAAGTGCACAACGTGACGATGTGGGTGCTCAAGCCATGGTCTGTAGCCATCTGCAGGAAATTGGGTGCTCTAGAAAAAATAAAGTAAAAATAAAATAAAGGTTCAAATATGTAGTAGTATATCCTTGCCAATATCAGTATAACATCATGTGTCTTAACAGATAGTTTTTTCTACTCTTTAACTAAATATTGTAATACAACGACGGGGTCTTGAATACTAACCTCACGATATAAGTTTCTAATTGTCTTCCCCAGTTATGTGTAATAATAGTCTGAGAAAAAGCCACTTCCCACTACTAGTTGCATAAAATGGAAGATGACAAGAAACAGGGACGTTCAGTAGGGACATTTGCTTGCTGATTTGTATATTATTATGTTACAGTTTGTGAGACAATCGTAGAGAGGTCAAGTCTGGTATATAGCGTATCCCCAGTGCTATGTGGGTCCATCTAATGTAGAAAGCTCTAAAACCAGGATACGTTTTATTTACATATTTACAACAGTTAATTTGTTTAGCTTTAAAGGTTTGGTCATGTCAAATTCTAAGCAAACCTATCTCGTGTTCTACCTATTGATTGTGTATATAAAAATCAACACTAGTATTACAAAAATTGATCCAAACAAACTGTTTCGTTAACAATTATATTTGAAAATACAGATGTAACTTTTACCTTTCGTATATACGTTTGTAAACCTCGTACACCGAACATTCGAAATACAAACCACATCTTCAAAGACCTGAACTTTCTGCCAAAGGTAATTCCCCAATTCTGAAAAATATCTCATAAATAAATGTTATTTTCACTGATAAAACAACATACATACATATAAAGTGGTCACTAAGATGGGACCCATGAATTATTAACAAACCCTGTCATTTCCTTTATGGAACAAAATCCAGTCCGACAATTCTGAACTGGTCAACTTGATCTTAAATTAAACCTTGTTTGGCCACCCTCTCATATAGAAGAGCAGCTAGACAAAACAGACAGTAACACAGTAGAAACCACGTACACGTTAAACAGTTACGGACAGTAAGACAGTAGAAACCACGTACACGTTAAACAGTTACGGACAGTAAGACAGTAGAAACCACGTACAGGTCAGACCGTCACGGACAGTAACTCAGTAGAAACCACGTACACGTTACACCGTCACAGACAGTAACACAGTAGAAACCACGTACACATCATACCGTCATGGAAACCACAGTCAGTAGAAACCACGTACACGTCAGACAGTCACAGACAGTAAGACAGTAGAAACCACGTACACGTTAGACAGACACAGACAGTAACACAGTAGAAACCACGTACACGTTAGACAGTCACAGACAGTAACACAGTAGAAACCACGTACACGTTACACCGTCACGGACAGTAACTCAGTAGAAACCACGTACACGTCATACAGTCACGGACAGTAACACAGTAGAAACCACGTACACGTTACACCGTCACAGACAGCAACACAGTAGAAACCACGTACACGTCAGGCAGTCACAGACAGTAACTCAGTAGAAACCACGTGCACGTTACACCGTCACAGACAGTAACACAGTAGAAACCACGTACACGCCATACAGTCACGGACAGTAACACAGTAGAAACCACGTGCACGTCAGATACAGAATACTTAGAATTAGTACAACGTTACAACAAAGTTACATTTGGGAAAATTATAAATTAGTGTTGAAAAATACTGTAGCATTTTTGAACTTAACGTTTTAGTAAAAAATGATAAACTGGGAAGGAAAGTTATAAAATAAGCACGTACCCTGTAATTGAGGGTTTGTTCTTCTACGTCTTCCTTCAAGTATGCAGGCGTGATAGAGAAAGGTTTAAGAGCATTTTCTCGGTCTTTTATCCTATGGTAAAGCCCAATGTTTTTTATTAGTTATTTTTTGTTTACAGAAATCTAAATGATTAATTGTTAGATATACACGACTGTTTCAGTTTAAGTTTAATGCGAGCGTTACGATTTAGATAGTATCATATTTAGTTATTTTTAGAGGCGATATTTTATGATAAGTTTATTTACGTAACTGTGTACGAATCATACGTTGTGTAGTTTAACTGTTATGAACTAACGATTGTTTATAATAGTAGGATTATTACGTCATGTTGCTAGAACTTTCAGTTTCTTGTTGGTGGGTGATATTGCATCAGAATATCTAATATCGTGAGAAGTGTTCTAGACTTCTGTCGGGGTATAAGTACGTGTCGAAAATCTTCGAGTGTTATTCTAGACAGCGTAATCGTGAGTTTAGTAATAAAGAGCGTATAGTGGCGATTATTAGAGTGAACTTATCACAGACTGTATTGTGATAATAGAGTAGAGGAGAATAATTCGTTTTGTCAATTGTGTTATAAAATAACAGAACCAGCCAGTGTGGACTTTGACGAAAAAAGAGAATTATTGAAAGCTCTAGAAACATAGACATACATTCATAAATATATACATATACGTTTGATTTGTTTTTAATACATTTTAAAACAAGCGAACTGTGTTACTGTTTATCGTTGAAATTTATCACCAACAAATCACAGACACCTACTGCAAAGAATCTGGCCTTACGAAACATGACAACAATAAGTTTTCCTATTTGTCATTTCTTAGCTGTCTCTTCAATAAAATTAGTATGTCCCAAGCAAATGTAAAAATATACGACTTTAGCCTTATACCTGGTTAGTTAGAATCGGTGTTCAAAACAGTTTAGCTTGAGAGCCCCCTACGACCAAGACACCCCGATTTAGGAGCATAACTGACGACGTAAAAGGAATTTTAAATAACAGCAACTCTGAGATGCCTTACTTTCATTGTCAATTGTTCTTTAAAACAAATGTCTGAAGAATAAACAACGTTGTTTAGTCATATTTGTTGTAATAAATAAAATTATCGTTAAAAACATTGTTTTGCCCAGTGAAGGTTTCCTTGAAATATAATGTTGTATATTTGGACAAGATTCCCTGATTATTTTTAAAGAGGGAAGAAAATAGGGCATATTTTTAGATCTCGTTGCAAAAGATACACCAATTTACTCATTGAACGTCACAAAACATGGTTACAAAAATAGCAGTATTATAAAATCTATTAACATTTATTTCACCATAGGTGTGGTACGTATGGATAATAGACCATCTTCATTCCATGAACACATGTAAGTGAGGCCGTGAGAATCATTGAAAATCCGTGAGATTTGATATGTCTGCAATAGGTTACGTGAGATTTTTCTAATTTCCCTGCAGCATATAAGTAATAAAATGTTAGTTGTAACTGAGGGCACGAAGTTTCTACAGATAACTAAAACCAGGACATGTACCTATTTGACAGATGAAAGTGACATCAGTTGTCCAATATATTAAACCTGGATTGGTTTTGTATGTTTTATGTAAAATGTACACACTGTTACGACAGCGGAAGTCGCGTGACGCTGGAAGCATGCGCGCTGGAGTTTCTCGAATTATCGAGGAACCCCGCGAATGTCCGAGTGTTTGCTAGACGCCCTCTTTTTTAGTATATAAGCCTGGCGAGAAAAACCAGCGGGATTGAAGAGATAGATAATTGAGTCAAGCGGCACCTTAAGTAAAGTGTGTGAAGTACTGTGATTTATAGCGTGTGTTATAAAGGTTGTTAAGTAAAGAGACGAGAAACGAATTGATAGTGAAATTACTGTATATTACAAAGTTGTATGGAGAAACAATAAACTAGTTTTAATCAAGAAGGGACTTCTATTGCTGAAGTTCCTCGGAAATAATTTATACCGGGAATTAACAAACAAGTAGATACGCAACAATACTTTTTCTGAGTGTTTGATCATCTGGAAGGATCCATAAACACACTGGAAGTTATTGGACCCCAGTATTTTAGAAAAATCTACAGCTTAATTGTTTGTTTGTTTTTGAATTTCGCGCAAAGCTACACGAGGGCTATCTGCGCTAGCCGTCCCTAATTTAGCAGTGTAAGACTAGAGGGAAGGCAGCTAGTCATCACCACCCACCGCCAACTCTTGGGCTACTCTTTTACCAACGAATAGTGGGATTGACCGTACATTATAACGCCCCCACGGCTGAAAGGGCGAGCATGTTCGGTGGGACGGGGATTCGAACCCGTGACCCTCAGATTGCGAGTCGAGCGCCTTATCCACCTGGCCATGCCGGGCCTACAGCCTAATAAATTACACTTTAGGGTTAACTTCTTACCAGTATGTTTATAACACAAGCCTATCTTTAAAATTACCAAATATTATAATCAGATACATACAGATTAAACGAAAATAAAAGATTCGAGAATGATACCGAAACATTTTCAAATTCTCCAAATACAAGGTACTGAGAAAATTGTTCCATCACACTCGTGAACTAACTAATTACGTATTCAGGCGTTGCTAGGATTTTTTAGGGGTCGTTTCTGAAATACATAACACGTGTAAGCCTAAGTACGTTGTGAGTCAACAGCAGTCAAGTACATTGTCGAAACTTAACAAGGTTCATGTCAAACTAAATAAACACATTAGTAAACGAAAAAGGTTATAAATATAAATTATAATATGATGTTCATCAGATTTTGCAGCAATAAACTTAAATTTATGTGACCATTAAAATACAGTGAGGTTCAAAAGTAACTCTCTATGAGAGCCTGAAATAACGGAAGTGACGTAACTCACCACATGGCACAACAATCATGGTTTGTGAGCAGCCACTTGGCAGGACACAAGAGGAAAGAATCGGCATACTGTAGTTGAAAAAATCACTATTATACACACATTTCTGAACCATAAGACGCATAGTTTTAAAAATACGCCATTTTATCTTATTATTCGAATGCATAACGTTTTATAGATTATTTTTGTTGTACAGTAAGAAGGAAATATCAACACAAATATTTATAGTATTAACAAATATTATTGTTACGACAGCGGTCACGCTGAGAGCATGCGCGCTGGAGTTTCTCGAAGAATCATGAATTACCGAGGAACCCCGCGAATGTCCGAGTGTTTGCTAGACGCCCTCGTTTTTAGTAAATAAGCCTGGCGAGAAAAACCAGATAGATGGAAGTGATATATAATTGAGTCAAGCGAACAGTAGGCACCGTAATAAAGTGTGTGAATCACTGTGATTTATAGCGTGTGTTATAAAGGTTGTTAAGTGTATTAAAAAGTTTGTATTGAGAATGAGTAAACTAGATTTAATCAAGAAGGGACTTGTATCGCTGAAGTTCTTCACAAAGAATTTATACCGGAAATTAACAAACAAGCAGATATGTAACACTGTAAATGTTTTATTTGGATCAACTACGTCACTAGAATATTACTTTTGTAAAACTATAAATGTTTTATTTGGATCAACTACGTCACTAGAATATTATTGTAAAACTATAAATGTTTTATTTGGATCAACTACGCCACTAGAATATTGTATTGTTACGACAGCGGAAGTCACGTGACACTAGTAACACGTCATGAGCTTCTAGAAAATTCATGTCCCTTCGTGAAGCCTCGAGTGTTTACTAGATGTGCGGTATTCTTGTATATAAGACCACCAAGAAGTGACGGCAACAACGTAATTGAATTGCAGACGAGATAGAGACGACAACTGAGTCAAGCGCGTGAGTCGTTTGTTGTAAATTATAGCGTTTGTTTAAGTTATAGCGTGACTGTGGAAATTAAGTGTATTGCAAAGTTGTATTGAGAAAGAATAAACTAGTTTGATTTAAGAAAGGACTTGTGTCGCTAAAGTTTCATCGGAAAGAAATTATACGGGAAATTAACTAACGACCAGAGACGTAACAATATTATGAAAATAAAAATATTTTACTGAAAGTATGCGAGTGGAATATTGCTTTAGTAAAACTAAGAACGATTTATTTGGTTTTCGTATTGTAGTAAAACTACTTAGGCCTAATTCTCTTATTAATTCTCGCTAATAGATAGGTTGTCACTCTTATAAAGCTCGGCTTAACTGGTTTGATGACAACCAATCACAACTTTAAACTATCAGCACGTTACTCTGCTGTAGTACAGTTTATTTTGACACGATGAACAGGTGGTAATAACGTAGTATTTCATACAACATCCCTTTTCCTGATCGTTTCCATAGCTATTTCAATACTGTGTTTATTGTTATAAGCTATATTTTAAATTTAAATTTAATTTAGAAGTTCGGTAGGGGGATCTGCGGGTGTTAATAATGATATTAACATCCACAGGTTTAATACAAATCAGTCAGTGTGTTTCATGAAATATTTGGATTTGTTTTTTGAGTTACTTATTGAGTTACTTTAACATTAGAGTAGAACAAGCTAACATGGCTGTAAACGAAGCCTACAACCTACTTTAGTGTTTAAGCTTCTAGATGTGCTAAAGACGATAAACTGAATTATTATCGTTAAGTGGACTAGACGTTGAATTATTTTCTCCAAATACTTTAAAAGAAGAAAGGACAGCGTAACAACAATACACACAAAGGGAGAGTATACATAGAATGTTATTAGTACATCCTCATGATCAGGTACGTTTTTGTTTTTGAAAGTCTTTCACACTCTCAAACATTTGTTTCAAAAAATCACCATCCTACGTGCTCGTCGCGTGACGCTACATATAAGCCTACAACATTATATATAAACTCTTCGTCAGAACAATTGAAAGCGTGAAATATATGTTTACATGTTGTATTTTCATTTGAATTAGGATATTAAAATACACGCATTTTATTAAACATGAGCTCTTTTTGTTTTAAACAAATTAGTAAAACTTAAATACTTACTTCAACTCCATTTAAAAGATATCTAAATTCTGGACAAATAAAAGCAGCACCAGCATAAGCAGCATCTATATGAAACCACAGGTTTTCTTTCTTACCTAGAACAAAAGGAATAGAAAATAAACGAAAAACCACTCTTCCACATTACACCAGTGATTTTTATAGTTGATCAGTAGTAAATAGTTAACTAACAATTTTACTGCCAGTATCATTTTAAAGAACAATTAACTGATAGCTGAACAACTAAAAAATCAGTGGTTCTGCACAATCCGAGATGCATCTAATTTTCGTACTCAGTTCCTTATAACAAATATACCACTCCCTAACATTGTTCCAGGCTTTTGTTTTTAGTAGATCTATAGAATTCATTTTCATGTACTTTATTAATATTATTTTAAATGGCGGGCGTGACCTAATTTCTAAGTGCCCAGACTATGAATCCGAATAGTCAGGGTTCATATCCCGTTGCTGAAAAAAAAACGCTATAAGAGTGAAATTCAAGTCCCACAGTTCGGTAACACACAGTGTATCTCAAGAGTTGGCGGTGGGTGTTGCTCACTAGCTGCCTTTCTTTTAGTCTATCAGTTCAAAATTAGAGACAGTTATATGCAGATAACCCATTGTGTAGCTTTACATAAAAATTCTCCGATAAATGCACACAATTATTTTCAGTTCTATCAATACTGTTACGACAGCGGAAGTCACGTGACGCTGCTGGCGCGTTTGGCGCTGGTAGTGTGCGTGAAATTTCTCGAATGATCATGAATTATCAGGTAAGCCCGAGTTTGTTCGAGACACCCTCTTTTTTAGTATATAAACCCGGCAGAGAAAGCCTGCGAGGATGAAGGAAGAGTGTTCCGGGTAATTTACGATTCTGTTTCGAGCTAGTGTGTGTTTTGTTATCGAGATTGTGAATCGCTGTGATTTATAGCGTGTATTACAAAAGTAGTTAAATTGAAAGTGACGAGAAACGTACTGACTGTGAAATTACTATGTGCTAAAAGTTTGTATCAAGGTTTAACGAAGAAAGGATTTGTATCGCTGAAGTTTCTCGGAAAGTATTTCTACCGGAAACAAGCAGATACGTAACAATACAAATCTGAATTATGCTATCTATACCTTCAAATAAATCACAGAATATAATTAAAACATTATCGATGGTGCAGATTTGACCCGAATTGTATAGTTTTAACCCATTCCGTGATTTTCAGGACAATATGGTAGGGATGACATTTGCATCATCCCTACATAATAGTACAGGCACACAGTGAAGTAAAGAAACGAAAGTTTCTCACCATCCCGGGTTGTCTTTCAGACCCGAAACTCTCGTTGAGGCTTGAAAGATCTTAAACCTAAATTTCTGCCACGGTTTGGAAAAAATAGAATGTTAACAGACACAAGTAAGATAAATTAAACGAAACTGTGATTGAATAGTTATATATATATTGCTATATGTTAATTCTTGCCTGTGTTATTATGTAGGGATGATGTAAATGCCATCCGTATCATATTGTTTTTGAAGGATTCATATTAGCCATCCCTACATTTATTTCTTTTTTGGAAAAAGTTTTCGTCTTTACTTGTTTGTTTGTTTTTTAATGCAGTGTTTCAATAGACATATGAATGTTGTATGTATAACCAAGTCCTAAATACAATCACTGTAATGTTTATTGTTTACTTGTTATTGACTGGTAATTCCTATTTCAACCTGTACTTAAGCATTTTAAAGGAGCACCAAATTTCTGTAAGAAAGCTAATTTCAAGGGGTAATGATAACATCGTTTACACTAGAATCGTGATTTATTTTTTTAATTAACACTCACTATTATTAATAATTATAAAAGCGGATACTCCATTTGAAACTATGTCATCTCAGTGAAATTAGTTGACATCATTGTTTTGGTTTTTGAGTTACCATGTAATTAAACAGAAGAACAAGAAATTCAAACTTTTGCTTTGATATTTACAGACATTCCCAGAACTTGTGACTCAGTCATTACACATATAATATTATAAAAGGAAACACTGTATACAAGAGCGCCCACAGAAAAAAAATAGGGAGGTCAATACCCCTGTATTTACAGATACCTTATGATTTTTCAATAACATAGAATAATAATTTTACATGTCTAGTAATTTTTTCTTTTTGAAAATCTAGGGGGGGGTCAAGTGGCCCCTTTGCCCCTTCCTGCGGGCGCCCATGGCTGTATAGTAAAGTTTTGAGGAGATATTTAAAATACCATTTCAATGAACAATCCGAAACATCCCTACATAGGCAGTGCTGCCACCTGACTGATAAATCATTAGGAATCAAAGAGCGAAATAAAATTCTTGTCTTTTTGTGCTCATTTCTGAAAAACAAATATAAAAAGCCCGACACTGGTATCAGTAAATTAAATGGACAGACACTCAAGAGAGTAAGACACTATTTAGTGAGCTAACTATTATTCATACATCATTCACGTACATTTAAGTGATAAATATAACATTTTCCGAAAACATATAACAATTTGATAAAGAGAACCATGTTCATAAAATACAGCTTACATTTTCTTACATTTTAGCCCGCAAATAACCCAGTGGTAACTATACCCGGGGACTCATAATGTCAAAATTAATGGTTCGATCCATGTCGTGGACCCAGCTTAGATAGCCCATTGCTTATCTGTTCGCTTAATAACAAAACAAACCTTACAGCGAGTCATTTAAAGCTAAACTGCTCGTTTAGTTTTTATATGGCTACATGAAGAAATATTTGGATACGTGCGTCCCTAAAAACATTAAACATGAAATTTAGTTTCTAACATGCACAAAATTTGTAGAACAGAATACTGTCATTTATATACAGAATTTATGTCACTTAACTCCTTTGTGTGTCTTAATTAAGCCTATATCATTAAATAGTGTGTGCGTGTTAAGCCTGTATCAGTAAATAGTGTGTGTGTGTGTGTCTTAATTAAGCCTATATCAGTAAATAGTGTGTGCGTGTTAAGCCTATATCAGTAAATAGTGTGTGTGTCTTAATTAAGCCTATATCAGTAAATAGTGTGTGCGTGTTAAGCCTGTATCAGTAAATAGTGTGTGTGTGTTAAGCCTCACACACACACACTCTCGCTCCTCTTAACTGAACATCAATTCCAGATCTCTTTATTACTAATTAATTCCAGCAAGTTTCTACCGTTTCACTTCTGTCAAGCTAAAAGTTGATATTGATCATGGCAAGTTTGAATATTTATATGAAAACAATATGTAATGCCTGCGTTCGTTAATGTATCTATAACACTGTAGTAAGAAAAACAACACAAAACTTACAAACTTCTCCTAGTTTGTCGACGTTGTCAAATGCACACGAATTGGTTGTGCCCAGAGTTCCGACTACCTTAAATAATAATGGTGACAATATTAATGTAGAAAAATGTATTAGGCCTACATACTAGAGGTATTATCGACATACAGCACAAAGTTTATATGGCTTATGACCAAATGCTTGTCTGTAATATGTACAAGACAGGCTTCCTTAACCAAGTACTCTAGATCTCCTGGAAACAACCTTTCAAATTACTCGTATGACTGTTTAGTGGTGACAGTAACATTAACTGTGAGAGTTACAGTAAAACTGAAGTTATATTTTATGTACAAGACAGGCTTCTTTAACCAAGTACTCTAGATCTCCTGGAAACAACCTTTCAAATTATTCGTATGACTGTTTAGTGGTGACAGTAACATTAACTGTGAGAGTTACAGTATTTACTAAACTAGTTTAAGTTTGATGACTTTACAAAATTGAGAACAAAATATCTTTTTTATTGCTAGATCATAATTTGAAAACTAAGGACCTGTACTGATACTCCACTTAAAATCTTATATTTAAACTTAACTTATAAATAAAATTTTTATAAAAAAATCGGAAAGAAGAGCACGAGAGACTGAACCAAGTACTATTATTAGTTGTTACATTAATGATATTTCAAAATTCTTTATTAATTATTCAAAATAGCTGTATAATCATCTTAAACACGCGATAAAACCAAGAAGTCCGCAAAGATATGCAAAACAGTAAATCACGTTTCTTCATTACGTCCATAATAAATATAGAAAAATAAATATAGAAAAACGTACAAAAAACGGTATAAAACCTAGGGTTCTATCTTCGTCAATAGCTGCTTGGAGTATGTCGCCTTGTAGGCTGAAAGCGGCATCTGTTGGAAGCAAGCGACACGTCAGCCCACTAAGTAATCCAGCTTTTTCCACAGAACAATGAGCCTGTACAAAGGAAAAGATGTATATAATTTAATAGCAGAAACTATTTATTGTATTTTTATCATAACCTAAGTTTATTTGAAACGATCTGGGCGAGTTACAAATAAATAAAGAATCATTATTAACATGAAATCAAACCTACAAACCGTCTTGTATTCAAAAGCACATTCTACGCATGTATGACGTAGTTGTGAGCTGACATAACTTAGTTTCGGTAACATAACAATGGCATTTTCAGTTAATATGAAGCGCAAAGCAAAACAATGAACTATCTGCACCACGGGGATCAAACGCCGTGTTTTACAGTTATATGCCCTCAAGCTTAACGCTCAGCCACAGGGAAACTGAAAATAGAATTTATTAATTTTGAAATGTTTCACATTGTTCAGCATTACAACTCATTTTGATAGCCTATGATTTGAAATGATGATTTCGCTACTAAACTTCATCAAGAAACTATAGATATCGTGATTCATTTTCAGAAGGAAATTCAGTTTACGTATTTATGGATGTGTTTTGAACTAGTGTGCACTGTTGACCCAAACAGACAATAGCAGTGCTGATAATTTTGTTCCAAAACTGAAGTATTTAATTAACATATATACCTCTGTTGATGCATAGTACACCAGTTTGTCCGTAATCATGCCGCGGCTCCAGTCCTTCTTCATAGTTTGGATACAGGAAATGGTTTTTTCTCGAGCACTCAGCAAAGCCATTAGTGTGCTTTCACTGGCACTACTCTAGAATGAGATCACGAATTGATATAAGAATTAAATAGTGTAACAATGTTTCTAAAGGACTGTTTGAAACATCAGAAACCATTATTGCGCGTAACTCATCGCTGTTTAAATGTTGCTAGTATAGTTCAAGTAATAACTGGTAACCTGATGAAGGGCTTTTGCCCGAAACGCCGTTTTCTTGTTTTGTTAATAAAGTTATTTTAATTTGGCAAGTTTTTCACCACTACTTTATATTCTATTTTGCAATCATGATATAAGTTTTAAGAATAATTTGTTGTTTCTTAGAAACGTAATGGAGGTATTAAATTAGTAGAATTTGTTGTTTCTTAGAAACGTAATGGAGGTATTAAATTAGTAGAATTTGTTGTTTCTTAGAAACGTAATGGAGGTATTAAATTAGTAGAATTTGTTGTTTCTTAGAAACGTAATGGAGGTATTAAATTAGTAGAATTTGTTGTTTCTTAGAAACGTAATGGAGGTATTAAATTAGTAGAATTTATTGTTTCTTAGAAGCGTAATGGAGGTATTAAATTAGAAGAATTTGTTGTTTCTCAGAATTGTCATAACACAACGTACTCAACCTCTGTATAATAATAATAATGCCATTTATTTTATACATAGAGAACATACCTGAATCACTCCACCTCCTGTTCCATTTGAGGAAAACAAAAAATCCTGAGGTAGCTGGAGCATCTTCCCTAGCCAATCTAACATCACCATTTCCAAGTCAGTAGATGCCGGACAGGCAGACTTTATGTGGAAGAGTTACACAAGAGTGATGTATATATTAAGCCAATTTCAATATTAAATTGTGTGTATCCAAATTTTTCCTTACAATTGTATTAGAAAATAATGATTTGTATTAAAAAGGCCTAAGTATACAATTATCCAAAAATAATATAGGTTTTAGTCCACAATATATTTTTCTTACCCAAGAAAACCCAATGTTACAGAATACTCCACTCAGCATATCAGCACAGATGGCGGGAAAACAATTTCCAGCGGGAAGATAGGAGTGGAATCTTGGAGAATTCCAATGGACGATCTACGAATTTCAAGGTAACTTTAGTATTAATACGAAATCTATCTATATATTCATATTTTATGCGTTCAAAACCTACTACTACAAAACTTATTGTCAATAACTATTTTAATCATCTTATGCCAAACAGTCGTATATTTTGGCGGTTGAAGTTGAACATTATCAAAATGAAAGTACAGGGTGAAAACGAAAAGAAAAATATTGAGAGACATTGTCGACATCAGTTTATGGAGGGCATTAGAAGTATGGAGGGCATTAGAAGTATGGAGGATATTAGTTTATGGAGGGCATTAGAAGTATGGAAGATATTATTTTATGGAGGGCATTAGAAGTATGGAGGATATTAGTTATGGAGGGCATTAGAAGTATGGAAGATATTATTTTATGGAGGGCATTAGAAGTATGGAGGATATTAGTTATGGAGGGCATTAGA